CAAGAAAGCTGCATGTATGCATTTTTAGAAGAGCTGCTTTTGCTGGTTCCAAGGATTCTGTTACTGGAAAACTGCTCTGAGCTGGCTCCAGCAGCTCGGTTGACAATGGCTGAGTCCAGTTTCTGACTATTCTGATGAGGAATGCCAGGTCTCGGAATGGGAGTGGCATTGGGGGGAGAGGTGAGAGGGTCTTTGGGAAAGTGGCTAAGCTGGAGGACCTCAAGAGGGAGTATAGGTTGAACCTAGACAAGAGGGCAGCAAAGGAGAGGTATTATCAAGTCATCTTAAAACTTTCAGCCTCTTAGTGATGATTCTTCTCTTTTTTTTCCTACGTTTTATGTATGCAAGTCTAAAGTCAGACTGGATAGTAGCCAAATAACTTAATCTCTGTGCTTCCATTTCCTCGTCTGTAAATGAGGATGATAAAAGCAACTGTCTTTTACATTACATGAACATTACCTGGTACAAAAGAAGTGCTATCTAGATATTTGTTGTAATTATTTCTTCCTCTCCCTACCTTCCTGGGACTTGGCCTGCTCTGCTGATTTATTTGTTTATACAGTGATTCCCCATAATTTCACGTGTTTAATTTTTTCTAGGTCCCATTTCTTGCACACAGTTGAGAAGTGATCTATTAATAAATGTCAGCTCTGGCAGCAGGAGAACCACTGTCTCTGCGGCTCCTAGCCAGGAATACACTATTGAAATATTAATTACAGGGACCCTTCTCCCTACAGGAGAGTTGTTAAGTGTTAAACTTTGACATTCTGTAGTTTTCTGAAGGTTCTGGATATAAGGGACCTGAGGACACTTTTTTTTTTCTCTTAAACTTGTGTTTAATGAGATCAGCATAACTGTGTGGTTATGACTGCTCAGCAATCTGGTTAAGTTCAAAATGAGGGTGGAACAATAGGGAATCCAGCTCAGCTCTGCCAATTCCATGATTTGTATTATTCAGAAGTTCTCCCTTTGCTGTCTGTTGTCTGAGCTATAAGTTGTAAGTATATTTTCCATTTTTTATTTGTTTTTCACTCTACTTAAGTGGGTTTTTTTGTTTTACCTTGCCGGAGTATGGATTCTTTGCGGGGTCAAATTTATCAATCTTTTCATTTATGGCCTCTGGATTTTGGTTCTTAATTAGAAAGAAAGGGCTTCCTACTCTGAAGTTATAAAAGACTTCTCCCATGTTTTCCTCTGGCACTTGTATGGTTTCATTTATAACATTTACAACTTCTATTTATTTGAAATATTTACCAGTGTACAGAGTGAGGTCGGAATCCAGTTTAATATTTTTCCAGATGATTACCCAGTTCTCTGCATACATTTATTAAAAAGTCTATTCATCTTTTTCTTACTGATTGGCTACCTTTATTATATGCTAGATTTCTGCCTGTGATTGCATCTATTTCTGGACCTTCTATTCTGAATCATTTGTTTATCTCCTTCACCAGTGCCACACTGTTTAATTATTGAGGCTTTATAATATGTTTAAAATTCTTTAGGACAAGTGCCCCTTCATTGCCCTTCTTTTTCAGTTTTCGCAGGCTGAGTCTTGCTTGTTTAGTTTTCTATGTGAACTTTAAAATCTACTTATTAAAAGGTTCGTATTTTTTTGGAATAGTGTTAAATTTACAAATTAATATAGGGATTACTTTCTAAGACCTAAGCCTTGAGATACCATTCGCTGGTTCTGCTGGGAGGCAAATGGAAGGAGTTGGGACTGTAACAGATCTAGGTTCAAATTCCACCTCGGCGCTTTTATTAGTTGTCCAACCTCAGAAAACTTATCTGCTTCTTAGATTTCTTATATATGAGAGGATGACTGTAACGTCTGCCCTGCAGGATTAAAGGAGCTAAAAAGCCTAAAATGCCTTTTTCTGTGTAAATAGAATCCTTTCCACTCTTCTTCCTTTCAGGTCCTCAGCTCATGAACCACTGAGAGGGAAGCCTCCAGGATCCCAGAGCGGACCACCAGGTGCCTGGGGCGGGGTTCCGCGGAAGTCCACCTCTCCGAGCCAGTGCGGGCGTCAGACGACCTGTCTGTTCATCAAATCACGGTTTTCCAGGTGAGACCTCTCGCGTCATTCTCCTGGGGTTTGGAGTGAGCTGTAAGGCGAAGAGCAGCAGAGAGGGTTACTACGCGCCGCACCTCGTTGCCTCATACCTGCCCCTCTACCTTGCGACCCGACCCTTTCCTTCCCCTCACCCTGCCGCCTCTCCCTTTTCCCCGCCTTCTTTGCACACTCCTCCCTTCTCTTTTACTATATTTTCCTTTCTCATTTCCCACGGCTTCTTTTTCTGTCCTTTCCCTCCTCCTTCTCCTCTGGGCCGTTGCCACACTGGCATTGCCGACTCCCCCAGAGACCCCCGAGTTCCCCAGTCGCTTTTCTGGCGGGGCCGATTTCCAGGCGGGTGTGGGGAGGTGGAGTAGACTTTCTTTTCTCTTGGCCGTGTGCCCTCAGCTCTCCTTTGTTCTGATAACCTTAGTAGCTGACGGACGCTTGGCAATTTTATTTAGTTGTTCTTGAAATATTTTCATTTTGCCTCAAAGGAAAAAATCAGTTTAGCTGAATGCTCTACTCACGGAAACTCCTTTCTTTTGGTATCTATATCTCATTCCCCTCTGCCTCCAACCTTTTTCTTCTGTTTAAATGATGAAAGCAAATGTCCCTCTTTCTTCTTGATAGCTTTTCTTTGGAATTAAAAATCTTAAGGTATCTGATAACAGCTCAGAAAGGTAACTTTATACATATTTGTAGCCTTAAGATAGTTTATCCAGAAAAAATACTGTATTTATTATCCTTTGTAGTTGCCTAAAGTCAGTATCAGCAGTTTGGGGCTGTGAGGGGAATATATTAGGGAAAAGAAGGCACATTGAGGCAGCCACAGGAAAGGCTAATTCAAGTGTGAGCAAGCTACAGACCAGAAGGGGTTTGGGTAGGACTAGGCGTTCTCTGTGTTTTGCTAAGGGCAAAGCGACTTGCACCACATGCTTCCATGGTAGCCATGTTTCTGGACTCTGGGCAAGCGTTCATTTGCATGTGACCTGTGCACTGAGTTAGCCTTTTTCAGTGTTGCCAAGGAGCTACTGTTCAGAGAAACTGGATAGAACAGCATCACTTAGAAATGGTACAGTTCGTAAGCCATGGAGAGTATAGTGCCCATATGAAAGTAAACCTGTGACTGATTTGTGGGGCTCGAAACTGGATTAAGGAAATCAGAGGCTTAAAAAGTACATGTTTCTATAAAGAAATATTAGAAAGACACAAGAAGCTAATAAAATTGATTACCTATGGAGGTGGCAAACTGAGGGGGGATCAGGGTGGAAACAAGTCTTCTTTTTATATATCTTTTGAGACCATTTTGACTTTTGAATTGTATATTACCTATTCAAAGACATAGACAAATTTTTAAATAAAATTTTTAGAATAGTTTCTGATCTCTGGGCATTTTGGATTAGCAGAAAAATTGTGAAGGTAGTACAGAGAGTTCTTATATCCCCCACACCCAGTTTTCTTTTTTTTTTTTTTTGGCTGCACCACGTGGCATGTAAAATCGTAGTTTTCCAACCAGGGATCAAACCTGTGCCCACTGCATTGAAAGCATGAATTCTTAACCACTGGATCACCAGGGAAGTCCCCAGTTTCCCCTGTTATTAACATCTTACATTATATAGAATACTTATCACAACTATTGAGTTACTATTGCCTATTATTATTAAAGTCCATACTTTATTCACGCTTCCTTAATTTTTACCTAATTTTCTTTTTTCTAGTCCAGGATCCCATCCAGCATACCATATTACATTTAATTGTCATGTCTCCATATGCTCCTCTTGGCTGTGACAGTTTCTCAGACTTTCCTTGTTTTTGATGACTTTGACAGTTTTGAGGAGTACTTTAAGGTTTCTTTGTAGAATGTTACTCAATTGAAATTTGATGTTTTTCTCATTATCATGCTGAGGTTAGAGGTTTGGGGGTGTTGACTTATCACTATTGAGACATAAAACAATTTGTAAGATGGAAAAAGGCAGAAGGAGATAATTTGTGTAATTTGAGTTTGAAGCAAAAGTTTTACTAAGTTTGGAGATAGAATTGAGTTTGTTCCCAGGGGATAAGAGAGTGGGAGCAGTCCAACAAGTTATCCACACATTGGTCTGAATTATAAAGATGGAGTGGACCCTTCTCTGGAGAGATAAAGGGTCTGTTCTGTCACAGTTCCAGAGAAGACAAAGCACCCCTGTTGCTAAGATACTGTCTGTCATAGCAACATCAGCTGCAGCAATAGTAGAGGTAGCAGTAGACAGAGCTTCTTTTATCTCCATGTCTCTCTTCCAACCCAGATAGTGTGGACTTGTGTGAGTGATAAAACACAACGATAATGTTATTGTCATTTTTCCCAAACTAATTCATTATCAGTTGAACTTCTGGTTTTTTGCCTTCTCTATTCCTGTGCTCCTTCATCTGCTCTGCTATCTGCAAATCTCTGCAACTCCTGTCTTGTTTCCCAATTTAATTAAATATGATAAAAAGTCTTAAGTAGAAACTATCTATTATTTTATATACTCACTTATATCCCAGATTTTGTGCTTTAAATACCTTTATAAAGGGTAGACTTAAATAGTTATTTGAGTCAGGTGTTCATTCCAATAGTTCTGTGGTGGTACAGACTGAAGAAAAACATTTGATCTGGCCACCGTGTGATCGGTGTGTCCTGGGTTTGTGGAACATGTTTGAGAGTCGTAGTTTAGTCTTTATTACATCATATTGCTTTAGCATCAGGGAATAAATTACATTTGAAAGGTCTGTTTATTTCAGGAATCAAGGCCAAAGGTATGAACAAGGTGTCAATTCTGAAGGGAAGATTTTTGTAAGGATGGACCCACACCCGAAGGTCCCCAGCATATATGATAGGGATACTTTACAGATTCCTGAGAATGAAAAACCTTTTCAGTATGAGGACCAGTTAGAAAGGCATGTGGACAAGCCTGAAGAAGAAAGATGGTATAAATGCAGTGAGTGTGGAAAGAAGTTTGCCCAGACCTCAAGCCTTGTTCGACATCGGAGAATCCACACCGGAGAGAAACCCTATGAGTGTGATCACTGTGGAAAAGCCTTCAATGCGCGCTCAACCCTCACTGTGCATGAAAGAATCCACACTGGTGAGAAACCCTATACTTGTAATGAGTGTAGGAAAGCATTCAGTGTGAGGGCGCACCTAATTATACATCAGAGAATCCACAATGGAGAGAAACCCTATGAATGTAATGAATGTGGCAGAGCATTTAGTGTGAGCTCAGACCTCATCAAACATCAGAGAATCCACTCTGGTGAGAAACCTTATGAGTGTGATGAGTGTAGGAAAGCCTTCAGCGTGAGCTCAGACCTCATCAAACATCAGAGAATCCACACAGGAGAGAAGCCATATGAGTGTAAGGAGTGTGGGAAGGCCTTCTATGTGAACTCAGCCCTTATTAATCACCAGAGGATTCATTCTGGAGAAAAGCCCTATAAGTGTGGAGAATGCAGGAAAGCATTCAGCCAGATCTCAACTCTTATTCTTCATCAGAGAATCCATACTGGAGAGAAACCGTACGAGTGTGACGAGTGTGGGAAAGCATTCCGTGGGAGCTCTAATCTTACTAAACACCAAAAAATACATGCCAAAGGAAAGTGTCATCAGTGACTTACATGGTGAAGATATTACAAAGGCCTTTTTTTTTTAATATCAGAAGTTGTCACCAAAGGAAGGGTATGGTAAAAGTTAATGTTTTAATTGACACTTCGTTTCTTTGAATATTGAAGAAGTGAGAAGTCAATGAAAAAGGACTCCTTCATCGTAATGATTGACTTAAGTCTCTAAGATCATACTTCTGAGAATGCAGTTTTACAACTCATAAGGTAAATTATACCATAATATAGTTTGTTATGGTTTAGTAAGAGCAAACTTCAGTATTTCAAACATGATTTTTCCTTTTCTTATGTGCAAGCCTTTTGTTGTTGTTGTTGCTACCAGTATTATAGGTGAAACATTAAATTTTGAAATTGGAAGTAATGTTGGTTGGTGAGACAGGGACTACATGTCCTCATTGAATCTGCAAATAACTAACCTATTGGTCTTGATTTCTTTGGCTTTAATGTACTGCTATGCTCTTAGAGATGGTTAAATGAGTTAGTGACCTCGTGGCAGAAGGCATACTCTCTTTTTGGCTAGGAATCCCAACTGATAATTCTTCAAAGTTATTCTTTTTTTTTTGACCATGCCATGCGGCCTGCAGATCTTAGTTCCCCAACCAGGGATCAAACTCGGGCCCTCTGCAGTGAAGGGGCTGAGTCCTAACCACTGAACCGCCAGGGAATTCCCTCTTCAAGGTTATTCTTGCTTAGTTAAAGCCCCAGGCCTGGCTAAGACTCCGCATTCCCAACGCAGGTGGCCCAGGTTCGATCCCTAGTCAGGGAACTAGATCCCACATGCCGCAACTAAGAGTTCGAATGCCCAACTAAAGATCCCGCATGCTGCAACGAAGATCCCATTTGCTGCAGCCAAGACCCAGCGCAGCCAAATAAATACATAAAAATAGATTAATTTTTTTAAAAAGGTTAATTATAAGCCCCAGGCCTTTTGGACTTAATAATCCAATAAACCCCAGAACTTAACTGAGCTTCCTAAAGCAAAAACCTCTCAAAGAGTGTCAGGTGCTTCCGACCCTTGCATTCAGTGTTTCTCAAAGTGTAATGTGGCATATGCAAAGACTCAAGAGGTATGAGAATGGAACAAGCTTAGGGAACTGTTGTTGAGTTGGGGTTGGCATTAGTCTTAGGATGGCTTTCAATGATCTGTTTGAGAATAAAGATGCAGACGTAGAGAACAGAGGTGTAGACACGGGGGTGGGGGGATGAATTTGGAGATTGGGATTGACATATGTGCACTGCCATGGTGTAAAACATGGCTAGTAGGAACCTACTGTATAGTGCAGGGAGCTCAGCTTGGTGCTCTGTGGTGACCTAGATGGGTGGGATGGGGTGGGGGTGGGAGGGAGGGGATATATGTACACATGTAGCTGATTCACTTCGTTGTACAGCAGAAACTAACTCAACATTGTAAAGCAACTATACTCCAATAAAAAAAAACACAACGATCTATTTGAGTGACTATGTGAAACTTGATATCTGTAATCAACCAGGAGAGCTCAGATTTGGGAGGTGGTAGAAAGTTAATGAATTCAGTTAGAGAAATGTCTTTGTTATATCTGTGGAAATCCCAGTAGAGCTGTTCACCAGACTATAGCCTAACTTCCTAACTATCCCCAGGCCTAAAACTCAAACTCTGTATTCTCTGCACATATGAAACTCAAAGGAGATCTGGACTTTAAAATTACTTTGTTATTATTTTTCTATTTTAGTAGTGATTTCTTACTCCTGGGTAATGGGCCTGAAATCCTTTTGATCCCTGAAACTTAGTAATTCGAGGTTCAAGGTGAGCACCAAATTGATAGAAATTGCAGATTGCTTTGGTCCACACTGTGGACAAGTAGGAGGGAACACTCTGTGGGAAGTTGAAGTGGTATTCACTTCAGAGTAAGACTCTGTGTTGCAAAGGATGCACAGTTTCCCTGAATTCTCATCAGCAATTCAAGCAAGTCAGCTATAAGGCACACTGGATTCCAGGTAGCTCTAAGCTAACTTGTGCCCTCCAACACTGAGGTCACAGACGCATGTTAAAAAGCACATCATGAAGTCTCTGTTATTGAGATGGTGCTTACCACACTACTCAGGTAACTTTAGGCCAGGACATGGGGCCTGAAGGTGGAGAATGTCATGGTTCTGCAGCTCAAATTGAGGAGATAGGACCTCACTCAGGGCATGAGGCATGTTAGAGAAAGTAAGGCACATACTTACAGGCAGTGAAGGGCCTCAAAGAAGCACCAGGAAGTTGACTGTGCTATGCTGGGTTGAAGGTGTTAATTCTTTGCCCTACTTTTTCCTGCCTTTGGCAATTGAAGGACACTGTGGGTTTCCCCCTGCTCTGCTCTGGAGAGACTTCCCTGTCACCCCCTGTCTATGTTGTTATCGCCATTGTTTTCAGTATTTACCTCTTTGGGCCCAGCTGTCTTGGTTTGTTCATAGGATGGTGGTTTGCAGGCAGAGTCGTCTGGGTGGAGCACACCCTTCTGGGATCAGCACTGAAGTGATGCCATATCCCACCCAGACCAGCACAACTGTGATTCCTAAGCAATAAGTGGTGAGTATTTTGAAAACTTTGAAGGAACAGACATTCTGGAAAAAGAAATTTCATTTACTGAAGAATTGAGTGTTAGGATATCAGGATATATGTAACATGGTTATTCTTTATAAGCTTAGATTAAGGTATTAATGATTATCTATTTTAGGTTGGGCCTTGTGTCAGGTACTAGGAATACAAAGATAAATGAAAAAAGCACCCTACTTTCCAGAGGCTTACAGTCTATTTGTGGACAGGGAGAAAGGAGTAGATAGAAAATAATAATTACAGTGATAAAGCCATTGGATTTATACCGAATGCTTTGCATTGTAAGTGTAACAAGTACTTATGAGAAGGTTGGAAAAGCTTTGAAGGAGGATGAAATCTTGAAGAAAGAATGAGTTCTTCAGCCACGTGAAAAGGAATGAAGGAAGGTACAGTGGGAATAACATGTGAAAATCATGGTGCATCTGGGGGAGGAGAAGGAAGTTTTCAATGTGTATGATTTTTCAGACCTGACCATAGGCAGTTACAAAGGCTTTATCCCTCATGGGTGTAAAGCTACCCTCCTACACAAGGCTTTGAGGCACAGCCAGCGCATGCAGTCTCTGAAGGGAGTTGCAGTCAAAGACTCAGACCACCTGGCCAGCCATGCTTTTAGGCATATCTGTACTCTTAGCCCAGGCACCTCCTTTTGGGGCCCTTTTTACTGGGGGTCTTGCCCGAGTAACTCTTCAAGATTCTCTCACCCTGATAAGGCAAGACACTTTTCTCCACTCTGACTCAGTACTAGTACTTTTACAGTCCTAGCCTTTCCCCTCTTTCTCCCCCTGGCCTCCAGGTCCAGAAAATGACTGGAGCCTTTTGTTTGGTGCTGTGTTGGCAGTGACACAGTCCCCACACCTGTGCTGATTCACCTGACCCCTGCCTGGCACTGTTGCATGGATAAGAATAACACACTGCAGGAGCCAGCACTTTTTTGTTGTTGGGCCTCTTGCTAATGCTATTGCAGTAAGTGATTAAAGGCTTGGCTGTTACTTTCATTTTTGCCTGTGTTAACTGACTAATGCAACACATTCTCACCACTCTAGGATCCAGGCTAGAAGAATGCTCCTACCTTGAATATGCTGCTGTTATGGCAAAAGAAAAACAGTGGTAGGACCACATGATGGCTTTTAAAGCATCTATTCAGGAGGAGCATATGTCATTTCCACTTATGTTTCGTTAGTCAAAGCAATTCAAATCACCAAGCTTACTATCCATAGGGTGGAGAAAAATAAAGCTTACAAAGAGGACAGTGAATAACTAAGAAAAGTAATATAATTTACCATTGAGATAGTGGATCTACCATATTGGTCAATAATTTTGGAATGCTTCCTATGCTGGGGCTTTTTCTGAGTACCTTACATGTGTATTTTTCTCAATAAAAAATAATGAAATGAGATACATACTACTATATTCCCATTTTACAGCTAAAAATATTGAGGAACAGAGACAGCTAGGAAACGGCAAAGCCAGGAATTGAAACCAGAAGTTCAACTTGACGATGTTTTCTCTTAACCACTATGCTATATTATGAAAGTTTTGATCTGAAGGTTGTTTATGTACCACAGTGGGCCAGTGTGTTATGCTGGTAAAAACTTTAAAGGTGAAATTCAAGAGCCCCTGGTCTCAACCTATCTTTACCTCTAAGTAATCCTGTTACCTAGGCTAATGCCACCTAGCTGGGCCTCAGTTTTACATCCTTAAAAATAAGGAGACAGGCTAGATTTTCTCTGATACACCTTACAGCTTTGAGGTTTTTATCATCTCTCCAAATAGATAGTAAAATGCTTTGTTATGTGATGACCTCTTCTTTAATCTGCTACTTTATATATTGTTATGTTCACTGGAGCTCTTGCACAAATGAGTCTCCTCACCAGTCCTTTCTGTTTTACTTCTCCTGCTTTATATTAGTGATGATACTAATAATGAGTAGCTTCCATTTATTTAGACCTATTCTGTTCCCGGTACTTTTTCAGGCTCCTTAGGGTAAATTATTTCATTTAAAAGTATAGATGCTATATTTAGAAAAGAAGCAAAGGTGAAAAAAAAAATGCTCTAAACATCCCTTTTGAGAACTTAAAGCACAGGAAAATAAACCCAAGAAAGCAGAAGGAAGAAATTACTAAAGATAAGAGCAGAAAGTAATGGAAAAGCAAGTATGTATTCTTACTTAGAACTTTCACACATAAAGAGTTGTGTTTTATGTAGTTTCTCTCTGTAGGCTACTCTCATGTATGTTACATTTGACTCCCTCTTTCTGCCTCTGGGGAAAAGATGCTAATTTCATGATTAACCTGTTCTTTCAGATGGTGACTCCTGTTTCAAAGCAGAGTTTTCCAGAAGTCTAACAAACAAGGGAGATGTTCAGAAGACTAAGTGGGAACATCATCAGGGGCTCCACACTGGACAGGTTCATG